CCCCCGCTCCAGCATTTTCTCTCTCCAATGCCCAAGGAACATCGCTCATCCCCCATGCCTCGCTTTCCTGCCTGCAAAGCAAAGAGAAATCGCAACTGCTTCAAGGCGGACAAGTGAAGAATGGACAGACTGGTTTACAGCTTTTCAACAGTATTCACCACCTGTCCTGCAGTTGCCCTTGACGCAGTGGCATGGGGCCAACAGCACTCCCAGGGATGCGCTCAGTGCTGCGGCAGGCAGAAGCCATGGACATCTCCCCACCACGTGTTTCCAGGCCCCTCTCTGCTTCGCCCTCCCCAAAGCGCCGCCACAGCAGTCGTCGCACTCCTTGGCCAAGGTTAACTGAGTGGTTCGTGAACGTTCATTTATTCTGCTGAAATCATTAGATGGCAAAACCGCATCTATGCTTTAGCGAGGAGGTAATGGAGACAGAGAAACAACTTGCCAAGGTCACTCAAGAACCTGAGCCAGCTTGGGATTCACTGCAAAATCATCCCTCTTTCCAGCCTGCCTTCTTCCCATGCTTTCCTTCGCCAGTACCAATGTTATCTTCCTGCTTTTTGCATAATGCATTGCAAAACCTACTTTACATATAGAGGTTTTAGTTCTTAAATTGATTATTTAGTGTTGTTTTCTGGTAACAAACCAATCATACTGTTTTATTTATTTTTCCAGGCTGGCTGCAAAAAGAAAAAAAAAAGGAGAAACATTTCTGTGCACAAAGAACTAGCCAGCTTACACGTGAATCCTTTGATATTCTGCAGTATCGAATGGCCAGACACCCTGGACACAAAGTTAATCACATGCCAAATCTCTCAGAGCAAGGAATCACAGAGCGGACCTGGCAACGGCACCTAGTAAATACCTATTAGCACACAACGGCCGCTGTCTCGCCCGCCGCATTCCCATTTAGGAAAGCGCTAAGCATTTTTTGGTACATGGAAAATACACCTAGGAAGCAGGCATTTTGCTCCGTAGCATGCAGCGGCACAAGCTCCTCGAGGAGTAGGTGCACGGCCAATCTCTTATTCACAGCTAAAAGGGATAAATTAGGTGTTGGAGGAGGGGAGGGCTCACTTTGCTTTTACCTTGCAGTAATTAATGAACAAGAAGTGTCTAGAGGTAAAACCACAGCAAAGAGCCAGGCGCTTCGAGCTGTACAAGGGAAGCATGCAGAGGTCAACCCCAGATGGGAGGAGAGGGCTGCCTTTCCAAACGCTGACACTGCGAGACAGATCAAGCACTTGGTATTCGTTGCAGTTTTCAGCCCTAGATAGCTCTGGCACGTTCTTTTTCCCCAGGCAAAAATACAAACCTTGCTCACCTCCCTAAAACACCCATAATCACACTTCTTGCCAGCAGACAACCACATGCCAGGATTCAGGCGCCCAATCTCTAATAGACACTGCAGGTCGTAATTAAGCTCAAATTTATGACGTCTTTGTCCCAGTAATATTGAAAAGCTCGTTCTTCTAAATTTGTTAGCACTACACAGCCAATGCACCGGGGACAACATAAGGAAAAACTTCTTTACTGTGAGGGTAACAGAGCACTGGACCAGGTTAGAGTGGAGTCTCCATCCTTGGAGATATTCAAAAGCTGTCTGGATGCGGTCCTGGGCAATGTGCACTAGGTGACACTGCTTGAGCAGGGGGGTTGGACTAGACGATCTCCGGAGGTCCCTGCCAACCTCAACCATTATGTGATTCTGTAAACATCTCCAGACGTACCCCCCTTCTCCACCCGAGCTCTTCCTCCCTCTCCCTGTCCTCCCAGTTACACGTGCATTTAACACCAGTCCTTCTCCTCCATCCAGCAGTGCCTTTGATCTGAACGGCGCGGAGCGCCCCGCAGCCTCATTAGCAAGCTA